GCATCCAGTTCTAAGATAGTAGCAGAAGTTTGCAAAAAATTGAAGTTGAACAGTTAGACTCAGCATCATCTCATTCCAACCTTACCAAAAATGGATTGGCCTGTAATATTGGGGCTGTGAAAAAGAAGAATTTATTTCAAGGCCAGATTGCTTTCTGTACAATCAAAAAGGCCTACTCTGAAGTCAAAGTATTTCTAGTGAGATTAGAATGGAATATTTCAGGAGTGGAATACATTGAAATACTTGAATATTTTTAATGTCCAACTATCTGCATGACTCAATGGATCCAGGACACCCAAATTAAAAAACCCCGTTTTTGAAATAATTTGCACAGAATTATTCACACCATTTTACAAGAAATGTAGGTATCATTATTTGCAATTCCATCTTTGCCTACCATTTCTCTCCTTATTTCTTTCTCAAAGGAAATCTATTAAGGAAGATAAAACTAAAATTGTTGCACAAATACAACCAATGAGGGATAGAGTGATGTCATCTGGATGGAGTAGAAATGTTTCACATTCTGACCCCCCCAAAAAACCCAACACTACCGAGAAAACTCTCAAGAATTTAAATTTAACACATTGCTAACCTCCATAGAGGTTAATTCTTTTAGGGTGCATTATTTACAGTCTTTTTGATTTCCAAAAGAAATTCAAGAGTTACATTAGTTCCTTAATCTAGTGATAAATGTTAATGTGTTTTTTTCTGGACAATATTGTTTCTTAATTTATAATTATAACCCTTGTGTAAATCAAGGATGTTCAAACTTTTTGTAAATCCTTCAAGGCAGTCCAGATAAAAAACCAAACCACGAGTATTAACATTACCTTTATTGTCTAGTTGAAGCTCTTCCTTCTGTCTCACATGGTAATTCTCACAGCCCAATACATTTTTTTCAGCAATATCTTAGTTTTTTTAAAAAAAAAAAATCATGGAACTGTAGTGATAGAAAATTGGCTGCATGAACCCCATCATGTTCTTTCTATAACCCACAAAACCATAACTTTCATATCCAGGATTACTCCTAGCTAGACCAGCAATATAAATAGGTAAAATATTTCTAATTTTTCAGTGCCCATTTATGTCACTTAGATGAGATGAGCAGTATAAAAAAATGATTAGTAAGTAAGTACAATGAAGAACTTATTTGAATCATTGAGGTATCATTTGCCTTTATTTGGTCAACATAATTCTTGCAACAATGTCATCTTTCCAGAATTAGCAGAAAGAAAAAGGGGATTTGCTTCCCCTTTTGAGAAATCAAATAATCATTTTTATTTTTTATTTTTTTGCTTTTTCTTGGCCTACTTCTGTAAAGTTCTATATTGATAATCACCCTCCCTACATGATCATTACTTATAGCTTTGTCAAAAAAAGCAGTTTAAATATTATTTCATTCATATCTTTTCATGATTTCAGGAACCTGTACTTCATGTCATAAATACATTTTTGCAATAATCCACAAAAATGGATGGGTTTAGAGGAATTGCTTGGGAGTTAAATATTTTAAATTATTAGAACTTTTTTCAGTTAAAATATGAGAGGGTTTTTTTGTATGGCTGCCAAAAACTAATAGACAACAAAGAATATGCAAGCATATGAAAAGAAAACAGAGGATTACACAAATACAGTATCTTCTAAAAATTCTTGTGAACACAGAAGTTGCAACAAATTTTATAGTTGCTCAGCAATTCTACATTATTCCCTTTCCCCACTTAAACTCATCCTTCATTCTAATTTAACATATGCAGAATCAGTTACTATGAAATCAGTTGATGAACTGATGCATCAACCATTATAGCCAGATTCTAATATAGTGGGAACTCTGACATCAATGGCAGTAAGTCATAAAATGTGTAAAGGATCCTCAAATAGTTGCTGGAAATGTAAAATTCAAATATGAACCTTTTATCATATTTGGTGTTCTTGAAAAAAAGCTAAGTAATTTTTGATGGAAATTAATAATCTAATTCAAAAATATTGAAAATTAATGTATAATTCAGACCAAAAAATTTTTTGTTAGGCTTTATGGATAAAACCTTGTAAAAATCACATGGTATTTTTATTTTTATGTTATCATATATAATGATAACAGCAGCATGACATTTATATGCTCAACATTGGAAAGATTCTATGATACCCACAATAGAAAAATGGTTAATAAAGATGACAGAACTGGCAACAAGAGCTAACTTAATGTCCTTTGCGAGATTGACGAAATTCATCTATAATTTAAAGACTTTTGTGGACATTTTTCAGGAGACAGAGAAAAATCAAATTTTGACATACGGATTTGATTGTTAAAATTTAAAAAGAAAAAAATATTTCTTTTTTTACCCTTTTGGGCATTTTATCACATTTTTTAAACTAAGAGTCAAATATGTTTTTTACTTTTTTTTTACTCTTTATCTTTTCTCTTGGGTTTCTATATTAGTCTATATTGCTTTTATGTGTATGTTTTGAAAATGTAATTAAATTATGTGACACCAAATAGTAATAAGATTCATAACACACCTGGGAATTGCCTGAAGTACTTTTATAAATTAAAGCTGCCATAGAATCCTGACAGAAAATATTAAACAATAGTAAACAAGCAGAGATACATCCAATTATTAGAACAGGAAAGTGGGTATCACAAAACTCACATCCCATCCAGTGCTATTGCAGAATAGAAAGGACAAGGCTGACATATTGCTAAAGATCTCATCATCTATCCTGATGCTAATGTCATTAACCCAATTTGACAAGGATGCTGACTTCTTTGCCCTGCACTGGCAGCTGTATACAAATAGATGCTACAGAAAACAAGTATAAAACAGAAAGTGAAAGAAATGTTAACATTATATGTATTCAGTCCTACCTTGCTTGGAATTCTGAAGTTCTCAAGGGGGCTCAAATCATGAATGCTCTCCTGAGGACTTTTAAGACCCTTAAGGGGGGGGGAAATCAAATGTCACTTTTTGCAGTCACAATAATTAAACATACTTATTAATGAATACATGAGTGCTTCAACTAGTGCTTCAGGAGGCATATATATTTGAAAACCAAACCTTGGTAAACTTGAGCAACTCTCAGGAACAAGGCTTTCTAGCTACAAATAACTGATGAACTTGTATAACAAAAGAACCTGTATAATAAAAGGATGGACCTTTTCTCATGATAATCCTTCACTACAATCTATGGATTGGAACTAATGGATGTTGTAACCCAAATATTCTGGAAAACACTTTATTTGCTCAAATTTATATCAAGAAAAATTGCAAAAATGCTTGTTGAATTCCACAGAAAAATGAATTAGAAAGCTTTGAAACTAAGTGTCCAATATTATTTTCTTTAAAAAAAAACCCACTGAATATGAGATTTATGATCAATAGTCACAATTTTGGAATATTGTTTCAATTTTTTAAAATTGTTCTCATCAAAAAAAAGCACACCTTGTAGTTTGTCTCTCAAAGAAATATTATCTGGCCCATTTTTGATCAAGAGTCCTGATCGTTTTGTTGTCAAACAGTATGAGAAAAGGTTCCAAGCTTAACTGATCATTACATTCTGAAATCATTTCTTCACACAGAGAATTTAAACTGGGAAAACAAGCTCAACCTGAACAGCCACAATTCAATCCTACAATGCACCTGGAATCCTTGCGTTCCTGAATGAAAAATCAGTGAAATAAATTACTGACAACGCAGGAAACCTTCTTAGTATACCTCCTTTATTCAGGCATCAGACCTCCCTCCCCAAATAATAGTAATAAATAATAACATTAAATCCTGTGCCCATTTACAAATATGCAAGTCCTATTTAACTGAACTCCTTTTTCAAAGCAACGCACGCTTATCTACGACAGAACGCATTTGGGCTTTTTTTTTTTTTTTTTAGTAAACATATTATCGTGGTTTTTCTTCTCGTCCAAAATTCCCTTTTTTAATTATAGGAATTTTCTTAATCTCGCTTTATCAAAAGTAGGCCTTCCGTTCTTCCCACCCCGCTACCTGTCGGGTCATCAGAGACTTGATTTTCTGCATGATGATACAATTTCTGCCGGCCGGCCGGACAGCCGCTTCGTCTCGTAAACTCCCTTCGACCAAGGAACGCAGCTGCCTCTAACACAACGAAGCCATTTTGGGCATCACATGACCCGCCTGTTTTCCTTCTGAATCATGGGATTTGGAGTTTACAATGGGAGCTCTGCTTCCGGAATTTGGACGCCGAGACGCAGTTGAGAGAAATACAACTCCCACAAAGCTCAGCGGAGCCTGTTTCCTGTATTGCCAGCTAATGGATTTTCAGGATGAAATATGCCTTTTAGCCATAAAATGAATTTAAAGGAACCATCTGATGCTTGGATGCGGGATTTGCTTATTTCCAGAAATGTATTTTGCTTCGAATGGAATAAGTGCCTGATCCAGGATATTAGGATCGATAGGACTAGATGAGTTTGTAAACACCGAAACATCGCTATGTAAATGCCGAGAGAATACGATGCATCAAGATTGAATTACTTGATGTTTCCAAAGTTCTAATTGCATCCAAAATCAAAGTGGCAACCAAAACTGAAATTAAACTAATAATAATAAAAACAACTCCCCATAATATTGGTGTTATGTGACAATCCCACATTAATCAAGTTAATATGGAAGCTGCTGCATTTTTTTGCTAGTTGCAATTTCAGTGTGGTTCACAAGGGCAGCCCCATATATGGTAGATTGCAGTAATTTATTGTGAGATAAATAGCGGACCCTGCCATAAGCGGGGGAACCACGCTAGGAAGAAGATTGTAAGGTAACGAGGGCGTGACGGACTCCATCCATTGCCTTTTAACTGCAGTGGGTAGCGTTGATGGCTGATTGGATGAAAGCAGGATTTCCTTGCTCTTCCATCGGACTGAGAACTAAGGACCACCCCGGGGTGTATTCTTGATCTTTACATGGGAGCAAAACTTCATCTAGACCCTAGTGCTAAAGTTGCTATTGCCCCAGAGTTAGTCAGTTTAAAAAACTTGCAGCAATTCTATCATGCTGGGTTGAATCAAACTGTTTCTCCTCATCGAAACCCTTATGGTCTCAGGAATAAACTGAAAACTTCATGGTCTCACGTGGAACTTCTTCCTAATAAAGGCATTGCCTAACTTCTGCTTTTGCTATTTCGTTATCGATTGGCATGGTTTACTCTAGTGTGAATCTATGAAAAGCCATTTCCTTTAGCTTATAAAGTACGGTAACTATTGGAACAATAGAAAGGAGAACCTACACACAGCAGAGCAAGTATAAAGAACATTGCTTATTTATAACTAGATCCAATAATATTTGTAAGCAAGTATTAGAAAATGTAAAGGGCTTTACTTTTTTCTAAACTCTCTTGACTGGTTATTAAGATATTGGTATAATTAATACCAGGGGGAGACTAGTTAAGGGCTATGTTTTCTATAATCCACTTGAAACCACAATTCTGCAAACTCATTTTAGCTTATGTTAAGATATGTTATGTAGTGGGCTCATGCAGTTATTTTTATACTTAAACTATACTGTGATTACTAAGCCACAATACAAGTTTAGTTTTGACTTAATGTGTTGAATGACCTCAACTATTATGGCTAATTCAACAAACCATGCTGAAGCAAAACATGGTTTAAATTACACAAAACAAGTTTTAATATGAATTTCACAAGTGAAAATTAACTTTCTTAATATTGTTCTCATTGGATTCTGAACCAGAAACTGAATTTCAGTCTAGGTGTGCTTATTCAGCCAGTTTATAGTCTTGGAATAGAATAATACCTTGGTTATCATATAAATGCAACTCACAGGCTGAATACTATTGCTGTTTATTGCATCCTGATCTCTCTTTCAGTTCTGTTTCACACAGAAACTGAGGTTAACAATGGGCATCCCTTTATAATTCTGGTCAGGTAGATAGCCTAGCTAATCACTAAGAATGGAAACCACAGTTTACAAGGCTATTGTTATCTCTACTTTGCCACCTTTTTCATGTGGCATTGATTACTGAGACTCTCCTATGGAAATTTCTAATCTGCAGCCTTTCTCTTTCAGGAGGTTTGCCTATTACCTTCAAAATTCTCTGATAATGGTCTGCTTAGTTACAAATACATACTTGGAGGGTTTTTTAAAATCTGCATTATCATATTTGCATGCTGCTGAATCTTGCAATTCAAAGCAGTTTTACAATGTTCTCAATTTTGCTATTCTTTAAAGCAATTTTGTACTTATTTATTTAAAAGTACTAGGAGTAACTTCATCTAACCCAAATGACATAAACTACCAAAAATTATCATTTGCAATCCTCAGGGCTTGTACAAATTTGTGTTTTTCTTCATGGAGCTGTTTAACTGTCTGCTCTCATCAAATGAATATAACCTGCATATGGTCTTTAAGCTCATTTATTTTTTATCAGTGTTGAGTGGTTCATACTGTATGCCTAATTTATCATGTTCTATATTTGCTGTGAACATACCAGAGTGGGGAATTATGATAGGGCTATAGGCAATGAAGATGTTGAATACTAATCTAACAGGTGTTCCACTCCCTGTGTCGTTTATACACATAGTCGAATCACCTGAAGCAAGACAAGGCAGTGACTCGTAACTCACACCTGATTTCCCTAACAAATAAACTCCACAGCTGCTGGACCAAGGCTCAGCCTATGCTCTGAAAGAAGATGGCTTTCACACAAAACAAGCTACTTTTCAACACCATGCTTTGTGGCTTGCAAATCTATGTGCTCTACCTACTTTTAGGTAAGATTCTGCATTATTTTATGTCCTTTTCTGAAACTATCCAGGTACAAGGCTTTATAGAATTCATAAATATCTTAACTTCAGTAGCTTTATGGCTATAAACTTGGTAGTGTTAATGTTATTTAGAATAAAATACCACCATGGGGTTTGTGTAAATGCAAACTACAATTATATAACTACTTGTGTGGGTTCTTGATGAATAAACTGTAAGACTTCCTTCAGGGTAGACAAGATTGTTCTATAGTTCACACATTATGTAATATTCTATCTTTTAGGAAGGTTGAATCAACACATACTGTACACATTAAGGACAGCAACTGTTATGGTGTATCATTGAATATAATCAATGCATTTAAAAAAATTGGTGCCGTATGTGGTAATTCAATATATTTCTTAAATTCTTTGATATTTTCCATAAATAGTATATTATTTAGCATTGGAAATTAAAAAGTAGATTTTTCTGATATTTCAGGAGAAGGGGGATTATGGCCCTCCCAAAACAGCTAAAATGCTACTCTCAGCAGCAATAGCTCATGTGCTCAAAGGTGAGGGATATTAGGAAATGTAGTTCAGCAATGTCTGGAGAGCTGCTGGTTCCCTATTTCTGCATTATTGTTCCCAAGTTTATTACACATACAGGAGATATAAAAATTTCCACCTTACTTAGAGTAACAGGTTTGTAATACTTTTTAGAGGATATTTTTTTCATTCCTATGCAAACTGGGTTTAAAATTGGCATTTGGTTCCAATATAATTATTCTCTTCATTGTGGCAATATTCACTGGGTTGTATACATTATGTTAAACCTGGGTGTATTTTATCTAATAATTTCACAATTAAATGGATTTGGACAAATGGCTGTCATAAATCCCAGTATTATAAACCAAACAGACTACCTTATGTCCTACTATAGTACAATATTTTGCTACTAGAATTAGGTAAAGCAACAAAAAATTAAACCAGGTTAATTTCAAAATGATATGATCACTGATACTGAAAAGTCCTTTAAATAAAATCAAAATCCTTCCCATGGAATGTCGGTTTATGTATGAAACTCAAAATATTATGTCATCTTTTTTATTTCAGTAAAAACGTTGAAGGGTGTTTCCAGTCAACAAGGATGGTGTTGTGCTTACTAATACTTTAAGACTAATGTAAAAGCCAAATGCAGCCTAAGCAAAAGTTGGAGGTCACTTTGGGAATATCTAATTTGTTTATATTGAATACAAAGAAAGAAAGCAAAAGCAGACAGCAGAAGTTAAGAGTGCATTATTTGCTTCAGAAGCTTATTTTATGTTTCAGATTCTTACAAGTTGGTAAATTATATTTGAAGTTTGTTATCTGTGTATCAACCATTCCTAAACTTGTTTGTAATAAAAGAAAAATCTGGATACCAAAGTAAAAATGGAACACAGGCAAATAATTTTGAAAGATTTAGAATAAAACTTTCCATGCGTTTATATAATATATCTATAATAAATTAATTTCAGTCCTGGCACTGCCATATGCTGAAAAGCAATGGTTCTACTAGAAAACACAGGGCTTAAATGTCACACAAATGCTGCAAATATGGTAGAAGGCAATACTGTATTAGATAATTAGCAAATTAGATATTCCCAATATTGTATTCCATTTATAAACTTGAAATAAAACTTCCAATTCAGTTGGTTACAGTACAGGTAGTCCTCTACTTAAAACCATTTATTTAGTGACCGACTTATGGCTGGTTTTCACACTTGGCACTGTTGCAGTATCTCCAAGGTCAGGTGATCAAAATTCAGGCTCTTGGCAACTGGCATGTATTTATGTCACTTGTACTGTCCTGGAGTCATGTGATCACCATTTGTAACCTTTAAAGCTTTGGACAAGCAAAATCAATGGGAGAAAGCCAGATTTGCTTAATGCCCGCATGATTCGCTTAACAAGTGCAATAATTTGCTTTACAGCTGTAGCAAAAAAGGTGGTAAAATGAGGTGCAACCAGTTTAGCAACTGCCTCATTTGGCAACAAAAAACTAGGGCTCAGTTGTGGTTGTGCATAGAAACTATCTGTGCTTGGAACAGATAAAAAGCATCATCTCATTTAAGACAAAATCTTAATACATCATCTTAGATGATTCTATTTAATTCAGTTAAAATCTGAATGTGAAATGGAGCTCCTAAGGCTGAAAAATACAAGTTGTCCTCAACTTGTGACTACAATTGGGGAGTAGAATTTCTAAGCAAGGGAGCTGTTAAGTGAGTTGTGCCCAATTTAATGACCTTTTTTGCCACCGTTGTTAAGCAAATCACTGCAGTTATTAAGTGAATTCAACTTCTCCCATTGACTTTGCTTATCCGAAGTTGGCTGAGGAAGTTGCAATGATCATATGATCCTGGGACCCTGCAATTATTGTGAATACAAGCATCCAGATTCCATTGGATCACTAAATAAATGTGATGGTCGTAAATGTGAGGACTTTAATGTAAGTCACTTTTTTTAGTGTCTCTGTAGATTTGAACAGCCACTAAACAAATGATTCTAAGTCAAGAGCACCTCTAGAGGCTGGTTCATAAGTCATACTAGGCCATGGTTTATTTAATTATGGTTTATTTCATTTTTATTTGCCATAATCAAAAGATCACTGATATTTTTGAATTATCTCAATCAAAATAAATCATAAAAATCACAAAAGTATTAAATAGGAATCTTAAAACAATTACAAAATCAAATAACAAGATGGCTACATATTAAGAATCAAATGGCTTCTTGTCATAAGTAATTTTTCTGAAGCCTAATAAATGCTGACCAAATATCACACATCATAATACTTGCCCTGTAATGGAAAACCAACATATGTAGTCCTCCATTCCCCTTATTTCATGGAAGTTGGGAACTTCTACTAGATTCTTCAATGAGTTCTGCATTGGAAATTTTGAAATTGAACAGAGATGTCTCCAGAGGTACCTTGGAGCCATGTCATGTATGGGTTAAGGTTAAAAATTAAAAATTAAAAGAGACTAGACAGTTACTCGTCTGAAATGATATAGGACCGTGGTGGTGAACCTATGGCATGCGTATCAGAGATGGCACACAGAGCCCTCTCTGTGGGCACACAAGCCGTCGTCCCAGCTCAGCTCTGTCACACATGTGCGCCGCCTCCCACCAGCCAGCTGGTTTTTGGGTCTCTGCCATGCATGCACAGGGGGTGGGGCGCATGCAGAGGGGGGCGCGCATTGCATTTTGGGGGTTCACGCACATGCACGCTTTGGACACTCAGTCCGGAAAAGGTTAGCCATCACTAGTATAGGATCTCCTGCTTGAGCAGGGGACTGGATTAGAAGACCTCCAAGGTCCCTTCCAGCTCTATTCTGATTCTGAGTTGAATTGCACATAGAAACTTATAGGAAACAAAGCCTACTTATAGATGTGATGAACTTTTGAAAGCGACCCATCTGTCAACATCTGAGCCCCACTGCATTCTGATCTAATTGTGCTGTAACTTCCATTTGGTTTTCAGAGGTAGACCTTTGTAGTGCACACTATTGTACTTTAGTAGTTTATTGAACTAAAGGTACTCCTTGACTAAAAGTTCATTTAGTGACTGTTACAGTGGCACTGAATAAAGTGGCTTATCATTTTTCACAGTTACAACTTTTGCAGAATCCCCACAGTCTTGTGATGAAAATTTAGATGCTTGGCAACTGGTTTACATTTATGACGGTTGCAGTGTCCCAGAGTCATATGATCACCTTTTGTGATCGTCTGACAAGCAAAGTCAATGGGGAAGCCAGATTCACTTAACAACTATGTTACTAACTTTACAACTTCAAAGATTCACTTAACAACTCTGGCAAAAAATGTTGTAAAATGGGGCAAAACTCACTTAACAAATGTCTCGTTTAACAGAGACATTTGGGGCTCAGTTGTGGTTGTCAGTCAAGAACTACATGTGTAACGGTTGCATTCACACAACAGCCTTGTGGGATTAGGATGGGGTTGCATTAGATTTAAATGCTGAAACTTTATTTCTCTAGCTTTCTTATAACATAACTTTCTTATAGGCAATTTTGCTAAATCTGATATAATATGTTGTTTGAAATCACTATGTTCTGACAAAGACTGCAAGACCTATTTATTTCTTTAGAAATAAGTGGACATCTAATTCACTCCTTTACTGACTAATATTCAGAGTACAGGACAATGCTTGATTTTAGTGATATACTCTATGACAGAAGTTTAAATATTCATAGTATGCATTCAAGGTATTATACCAGTACAAAAGAGGTTTTCCTTCACTTTGCTTAGATTGGGTCAAAAAATATGGGATTATTATAAGGAAGAGTCTAGGTATTCCCCCCCTCCCCTTTGCACAATTAAATGTTGGCAGGAAAAGGATAATGCATTTTAATGAGCTGTGGTGGTGCAGTAATTAGAGTGCAATACTGCAGGCTACTTCTGCTGACTGCTGGCTGCCTGCAATTTGGCAGTTCAAATCTCACCAGTTGAGCCTTCCATCCTTCCGAGGTGGATAAAATGAGGACCCAAATTATTGGGGGCAATATGCTGACTCTGTAAACCACTTAGAGAGAGATGTAAAGCACTGTTGTTATTAAGTTTCCATTGATATTTATATATTTATATATTTACATAGGCATACACACACACACACACACACACACACACACACATACTTGAATGACTAAAACTCTTGTGACTAATTATAACTTTTAGTTGAACAAAATGGTGCATCATAGGGCAAGATTTTTTGAATCGATATATCTCAAATGGGCTAACTTAAAAAATATGTCCAAAATCTGTGATTCCTGACTCGTGTGGGATTTGGATTTGTCAAATTTATGGTCGCTTCACTGTTACCAGACTACCACACCACCATGGTCTCATGATTGTCATTTCCAATACTCCCTGCCAGTTTCCCACAAATAAATGAGGCAGCCAGCATGAATTATAAACTTGATTATGGTTGCTGGCATTCCCTGCCAGCAACCATGCCAAGCTTACAGGGGGTGTTGACAATTAGAAAGCTGGCAGGGAAGGTCACAACTTCTTTAGGTAAGTCTCTCCCAACCACACTACCACCCCAGCCCCTCTGAAATTGAGCCATGCCACCCACTCACATATTCTTTTTTTTTTTGTGGCATGTGTGTTGTTTTTTTTGTGGCATGTGTGTTGTGACACACATGTCACAACACCATGCATCCCTGTGCATCCCCAACCAGCACCAACACCTCTTGTGTATCTCTGTGCACTGTCCCCAACCACCAAGTTATCTCTTGCACAGCTTTCTGAGCACTCTTCTGAATCCATGTTATAACCCTATGTGCTCTCCCTAGCCATTCAAATCAACCAAGAAGTAAATTTGTTTACTTATTGGATTAGTCAACCAATGATAGCAAGAAAATATTAGAGGAAAAGTGAATGTATTCTACAGTTATAACCGGCATAGGTTTTTAAAAAATCTAGGTCTTCATATAATGTGTTCAAAGAAGAACAATTTTGGCCTTTTGTGCATCAAATGAAAACTTTGGGTTGATTTATGTAATGATCCATCAGTTTACTTTCTTGGCTATCCGTAGTATTTTCAAGAGTCTTCCAAACATTAATTTCAAATATGTTAATATTATTTCTATCCTGCTTATTTCACTTGTATGTCATGTCACAAAGAATACCATGGCTTGCATGACTCTGGTTTTTGTAGGTATAGACAGATCTTGGCATTTGAATATCTTTTCCAAGGTCTTCATAGCTACTCTATTGAATACCCGTCTGCAATATTTCTTGGCTGTTTGTTCCTTCCCTGTTGATGGTTAACCCAAAAAGTTAATTATTATTTCATCAATTCTGTTCAGAGAGATGTGTGTAATGTTTATATCCAACCCAATATGAATAAAAATGTAATCGCATAAAGAAATATGATATTATAGATATATCATACAAATACAAATGGTCATAGCATGAATTTACACATGTGATATGTAACAAGTGATGGTTAGTTTTGAAACCATTAAGATGTATTACAATAGAACTGAAGCAAGTATTATGTGTATTTCAATTTGTAATATATATAATCTTTTTGCTGCAGGTAATTCTTCTGCATTAAAAATGACAATTCCCTCATACACAGTCAATGGCATTGAAGGACAGCCACTCAGACTTGATATTGCTTATAATGTCAACTTTGCCATTTCTGAGCTCCAGATAATATGGCTGTTTGAAAAACCACCAACAAACCCTAAATATCTGATTAGTTCTGCCAATCAATCAGTTGTTCCAGACATAGAATATAGGCACAAATTTACACTTTCACCTCCAAATGCATCTTTGCTGATAAATTCTTTACACAGAAGTGATGAAGGAAATTATATTGTTAAAATCAATATCGATGGCAATGAGACAAAATCAGTAAGTGAAAAGATTCAGGTTACTGTTGATGGTAAGTAATTTGAAATGCTGGGGTATATTTCTGTCTACTAATATTTATCATATGGGCTGTGCCTATTGGGAATTAGAGTTCAACATGTAAAGGTCATAGGTTCCCCATTCCTTGTCTATCTGTGACATTTTCTGGCCTTTCCTTTCCCCAAAGCCACAATCTGTCCCCAAAGCCACAATCTGCTGAACATTCAGTATAGTGAAGTAATACTGCTTAGAGAGCTTCCTGGCAATAGAGAAAATAGGGGTGATAATCAAAATCCAGCATTATTGCAGGAAAGGCACATGCTTACAATATATTCTGCAAATTCTTAAAAATTAAAATATATTATATATGACATTCATAGTTATATGACATACTGTTGTCCCTTACACACATCAGGATATTTCCAGGGGTGAAATCCTGCAGGTTCTAACGGGTTCTGGAGAACCGGTAGCGGAAATTTTGGTTAGTTCAGAGAACCGGCAAATACCACCTCTGGCTGGCCCCAGAGTGGGGTGGGAATGGAGATTTTGCAATATCCTTCCCCCAGGAGGAGAGGGAATGGAGATTTTGCAGTATCCTTCCCCTGGAGTGGGGTAGGAATGGAGATTTTGCAATATCCTTCCCCTGCCATGTCCACCAAGCCATGCCCACAGAACCAGTAGGGAAAAATATTCAGAATATTTCCATTCTAATGCATGAGCAAATTAAAATCCAATGGCAATTATTCATAAATATATTCTAAAAGTTTACTTATACAAAAAAGATGAAGAACTGGTGAAGAATTTTTTGCTATAGAGCAATCTTCTCCAAACTGACATCAGCTGCTATGTTGAAACTAAAATTTCCAGAATTCTCAACATAATATAGATTAGGTAAGGGAAATGTTCAATATGGAAGCTCTAAAGAACATATATATAAATTGAGTCCTATAAAGCATCCCAAATTGACTGAATACTTAATGATGCTGATCCTCTTTATGGAGTGCATTTGAGATTAAAAAAACAATTTGTTCTTTTAAGAAAGTTTTTGGGTTGAGAGCTTACCTCTTGTAGGGTCCCAAATTAACCAGTGACAGTTCTCACTCTCTTCTACTAGCAAAAATGTAGACTTCGAAAATCATCTACTGTATGTAAATAACAGAAATGACTTGATCATAATTTCCAATATCGTTTCCATTGCAGTGCCTCTCACCAAGCCTGTCATATACATGGAACCCTCATTTGGAGTTGTAGAAAAAAAAGGAAACATCACTTTGAAATGTCGGGTGGAAGAAGGCACAAGAATAGTTTACCAGTGGATGAAAAATGAAAATCCAATTGAAGACAGCAACAATGGCTCCATGACTATAAACAAAGATACACTTTCCATTGCCCCCGTTTTCAGAGAAGCTATTGGGAACTACAGCTGTTTAGTAACCAACCCTATCAGTGCCATGAGGAGTGATATGATCACGCCAACAATATATTGTAAGTAGATGAAATGTGTCATATCTACCTACCTACCTACGTTAATCAAGTTTTTTTTCGGGGGGGGGGGGAAGCAGATTTTACAGCTTTTTTATTTTTATTTATGTTGGTACCATGAATTGAGGGGCCAGAATCCCAAAGTTAATCTAGTTAAACCTCTACACATCCAACGTTTAAAATTGGCCAATTTTAAGATGGACCACTTGGAACACTGTGTATTCCTCTTTGAATTTCATGATTGTATATGAAATTAAATGGAGTATTTATTAACTTTTATTTAAGCCATCGTCTCCGTCCCCAGTATCCATGGCAGAGTGCTCCTGAAATGGACAGGAAAATCCAAAACCTGTTCTTGGAAATCTTATTCTACAAAGCTGTCAAACTCCTAAAGCCTTTCCAGAAACAATTTATAATAAATGTTATAAATTATAGTGATTACCACAAGAACAGAAAATTGTTTTTTTTTTTGAATAAAAGGTTTTTATTATTTTTTATAATCAAACAGATAACATTTTCACTTGTATATTTAAACATTTATAAACCCACCCTTCCACCCCCCCTTCCCACCCCCCTCCCCTGACTTCCCAGAAGAAAAACAGGGTATAAGTTTTATCAAATATACGCTAAAATATGCTAATAATGCAAGACTATAATTCCCTAGACCCCTTAACTCCCCTTCTACAAATTATTCATCAACCTCCCTTTAAACTCAAAGTAACATATAATCCTTTAGGCCTAAGAGTTTTAAAAACATTAACAAACACTAATAGATCATTCAAAGCCTAAAGTTCTCATAATACATCTGTAAGGAATTCTTAGTTCATTTTCTTAATCATTTTACTCTCCCTCCTACCTTTATTCTCAAGATTCAAATATTTTTCCTTAAACCTTAAATAATCATTAATTGAATTCTTAATTCATTTACTTAATCATTGTAATTAGTAATTAATACATCAATTATTAAATCAAAGAAAATTAATCTTCCCTTCTTCCTTTCTTTCTATATTTTTTCCAATCTTTGTTCCTCCCTCTTGCTTTTATTTTAAGGAGGTTTTGATTTTCAACTGGGGGTTGATGTATCTTTAAAACTTGCCCCTTTCTTGGAATCATTTCCTCTGATTTGGAGCCCCCATATCCACTCTTCTTGCTTATATAATCAGTCAGTCCATAGAACGAAGAGTTAACTCGATGAGTTTGCAAAAAAAGTCCAGTTGTTGCATTTCAATTAATTGTGTGAAAGCCTCTGCCAAATCTTCCGAAACCTCGTAGGGCTGATCAGTTTCTTCTTCTCTCTGCTCCAAATTATGTTTTTGAAAAGTACTGTCAGTTAATTCCACAAGGACAGGAAGAAAGTTTGAAGATTCTTGAGAATCAGCCAAATCCAGCTTCTCTGTTTTAATCAAAATGTCTTCTTCATTGTCATTGTGCTTTCTTTCAAAAACATCCTCATTTGCTTTTAAATCCTCCACCAGCTCTATAAATTTTCGTTCTATGGTTGCTGTAAAGTTATTAATAATTGCCATTTGGTTATTCGTGGCTTCCTTTATAAGTTCTGTAAGATCTCTGAAAAAATCCTCTTGGCTCTGTGAATCAGTTCTCTGTGTCATTTCTGACGCCATTAAAGAGCTTCCACCACTTTCAGAAACTTTTTCTTTTCAAAGCCAAAACATCTCTTAAGCAACTTTCTCAAATTTATTTGTAGTTTATCAAGCAAGATAGTCTTTTCTACACCCAGCTCTCAAATCCCAGCAGCTTAAGTCCAGTCTCTAAGCACAAATCTGTTAACAAGCACTTAGCTTTCACTTTCAGTCCAGCCATAATAAAGACGCCATTCCTCCTTCCGCTCAGCAAAATCAAATAGAAACAATGTATCCCAGGAGTTAAGCAACATACTTGCAAAGGCTTGTTGTCCTGCTTCCGTTCTGCCTGCTTTTGGAATCAATTAATCTTCTTGTTGACAGCAGAGTTGGTCGCCGGCGTCTAGCTCCGTTTAAAATGGAGTCGCCACGGATCCGGAGCTTCAGTGGGCGGAACGGGGAGCTCTCACCCTCCAAGCCCCTGGAATTGGTCCAGGGGCTCCTGGGGAGCTCTGCCCTCGCCCACCGGCTCTCCTCTCCTTCTTCTCCCGAAGGAGAGGTTTTGAACCGTCTGACAGCTGATTAGCGCTGTCAGAACGGCTCCAACGGAATCGCGGGGCTGGCGGTCTGAAAAGACCGTCCACGACGCCGGCGGTGCCAACAGAAGTCTCCGAAAATTGTTTTTTTGATAAAGAGTTGGAAAAGTCATAAAATGTCTCTTATCCAATTATCACACTTCTTTGGCTATTCCTGATGACAGGAAAAAGCCATCCATGAAGGCTGGGAGAAGAAAGAGAGGAAAATAGACTTTTCCAATATGTATTTTCCCCTCCTGTATTAAGGCTCACTCTTTGGCCGCTCACTGTTGTTACATATAATTTTTCAGAAGTGGTTCCTGTTTTGCTTCATGATGGGATGTTAGAGAAAAAAATCCAAATCCCTAGTGGGGTCTAGGCTAGGCAAGCAAAAACATTAAATCCTAAAGTCCATATCATTAACATTTTTTAATGTATGTGCAAAATCAATATAGGATACTGGATATGTTTGCTTAAGCTAATACCTGTGAAACAATATACAATTGAAAATGACATTATGGGAACTGCTCGTTATCCTATTATTATTTTGAAACTTTATGTCATCTTATTCAGATCATTTCTAGATGGTTTATTTTAGAAAAATATTTGTATAAAATGCAACATAAAACAGTATCACAAAATATTTAAGGCAGCAAGCATTAAGAAGGGTATAATAAATATAACCCAGATTGGTTACATGCATTAGCTCCATGCACTATGTTGGAAGCAGACAGGATTTGACTGGTAGGAAAAAAGGTTAGAAAAATGCTTTTACAAAGCTGTAAGCCAACAGGTTCACATGATCCTCCTTTCAAAGAAAGGCTCAAACAAATGCTTCCAACATCTTTGTTGATTCTAAAGGTGTTGGAAGCATATTACTTTAAAGCAACATGATAAAAAGTAAATTGAATTTAGTCAAATAGAGAAGGTGGAGAGGAAATTAGGAAAGTTTTTTTTAAATAAATGTTAAAAAGCTATAATGCATAAGTAGATATGAGTTCAAATAGGGACGTTTCACTTGAAGATAGAGAAACCCAATCCATTTCATGGAGTATGCCAGGGTTTTTTTCTTTCTGTTTCTCATTCTTTTCCCTCTGTGAGCCATATGTATTGATGGACTTAAATTCTTCTTTGCATGCTAGTTAGCATATCTTTCAATAGTGCCCACTATGACAGCATGTATATTTTATTTATTCAATTTATATTCCCATATCACTATCAAGTGACTCTGGTTAGCTTGCAATACCATATCATGTAATGTAATTTATATAATTTGCACAAGGATGGTCATGTGAAGTAATTTGTTCCTCCTTTGGTTGCCCATGCTGGTTAAACCTGATAGGACTTACTGTTTTATAATTTCCAAATAAGCTACATATTGTTCATTGATTAAAATCCATATCACTAATTCACCATGAGATTGCCTGCAACTTGAAATGACTTTTTAGTGACCCTTTTTTCCTGCTTTCCTTCTTCTTTCACTCACTTATCTAATTATCAGACAAGTTATGTCAAGTGGAATTATGTCAGAGTCATTGCATTAAATTATACATTTCAAACTGTCATTCATCAGTGACCATTTTCTGCCTTAGAGCCATGTCTACAAACTGGTTCTTTCCAAAAGTGTTGGAATTAATCTCTAGGGATTTCCATATGTTGATCCTACCTATTCGGAACTATGTGAGAATCTGCTTGAGGAAAGCAATAGCAGCCTGTAAAGAAAACAAAACATATATAATGCTCTTACAATTGATAAAAATGTGACCAACCCCTTTTTCTGCTGGTGAGCTCTGACTGAACTTCAGACTCCAGTAATAACAATGGTAGCTAGCTGAAAGCTGTCGTTCAATGTCCCATGGAGTTTCAGAGTGACTAATATTAAAAACATTGTAGGGAATTTCTCAGATAAGGTTCTTGAGCAATTGTCTTGAGTAATTCAGAACTACCAAGGAGGAACTCCTCATTTACTTGCTCTGATGATGTTACCTAGTTGGGTAATGAAATGTCTGCAGGTAACCAACTAGCTCAGAGAGGGTTCTGTGAACTCCACTGTTCAAATCCGAACAATAGATTTTCTACTGAGTTCAGTCTAAGGTAAATTGTAAATCTGTCACTCTACTGTAAATTCATGAAGGAAATAATAAAAATTACAAGTAATCCTTGATTTAACGACCACAAATGACCCCAAAATTTCTGTTTCTAAGTGAGACAGTTGTTAAGTGAGTTTTGCCTCATTTTATGACTTTTCTTGCCACAGTTGTTAAATGAATCATTGCAGTTCTTAAATTAGTAACAAGGTTGTTAAGTGAATCTGGCTTTCCTTTGACTTTGCTTATCAGAAGGTCATCAAAAGTGATCACAAGACTCCAGGACACTGCAACATAATAAATATGGGTCAGTTGCCAAGCATCTGAATTTTGACCATAGAAATGTTGCAATGTTTGTGTGAAAAATGGTCATAAGTCACTTTTTTCAGTGCCATTTAACTTTGAATGATCACTAAATGAACTATCTGTTATAACAAATCCATAAACAAATATATTTGAATATTATGGGAATTAGGCAATATAACCGTCTTGCCTCCAGTTGTCTTTTTACCTGTGGCAAGTAGCTTGATGTAGAAAAAATGTATAGTAAAGTATGAATTATTATTTAGCTCAGGTAAGGTTAAATGTACTACCGCTGTTATAAATGTGAATGTCACACCTTGGGCACCTCCAGCATCTTTAAATACAGAACCACATACCGTATTTTCCGGCGTATAAGACGACTGGGCGTATAAGACGACCCCCTACTTTTCCTGTTAAAATATAGAGTTTGGGCTATACTCGCCGTATAAGACTACCCC